AAGGATTTGAAGGCCTTTTCCCCCGTTGTAGAAGCACAGAATGTGAAATACATTCTTATTGGAATAACGATGCACCGAAAAGGACACTTTGTAGCCTGTATCAACTCAACGAAACATGGTTGGTTATATTATGATGGGTTAAGAGGAGAGCTGAAGCCATTCCGACGAGAAAGTGTAGCTGGATGTGTGCCAGGGAATGTCATATATTTGCAGGAATAACTATGACCAGTAAATTTTCTATTACTCAGCCTACATCACTCAGTATCTAGCATCAATATCAGAAAAAAATGTGTAAAATGTTTATATTTGTATATATCTCATCGTCGATTTGTTGGGAGTTCTTTCGTTTTATAATGTTTTCGTTATGATTCTCTTTTGTTGTCCATGCCACGTCAAATCTTTGCTTACATAGGCCTCGTGTCTCTCCCCTGACATAGAGGCCTATAGTCTGTTTGACGAAAACTTGCCGGGTTGTTTTTTGGGCACCAACTGCTCTCATCCTCAACAGATTTAAATAAACAAATACTTTCTGAATCTTGAGATTACATCGTATTAGCAGTATAAGAACTGAGAGTCTAGGATATTTCAAAGTCTAAAGATGACAGGAAGGGAAAATTGCAATACTTGATATCAAACTTATGCCCATATTTTCTGCTCAACATGCACTCTCCCATTCAAACTCCAATAAAAGTTGAATTTTGAACTTATGAATACATTCATATAGAGTGTTGCGCTTCTAAAGACAGCAAGGTTTCGTCAAACAGACTATAGCCTAGTTAATTTAATCATCAACAGGTTTATACTACCTCTCCTTTCATAGTCACCTGCCATCAATTTCCGTTTTAATCAATAATTAAAACCGGTTTTATGTCTTCCCTTGATTAAATACTGTTTATTTATCAATTTTACTATTGTAACATAGCCTTATTTGCAGTTTATACACTTAATTTCTCACACCCTTCTAATTCATCTACTGCTTGTATATTCTTGTCTCTTCAAAATACTGTTAATCAACCTGAAGTTGAATTACAAAGAATTTCCTAAATTCATCTCCTTTTGTCTTTTGGATTTTATTGTGGGTTTATAGTTAGTCATGTGGGTGGGGAATCCCCTTTCAAAGCGAGGTTTGGGCTCTGGCGTCATAGTAAAAATGGGCATCATTGGATTTATATAGTTAGTCTTTAAGTGCTTTTTTGATCTCATATTTTATGGATTTAAATGGGAATCATGTCATAGTGTACCAATCAGCAGGCAGCAAGTCCACGGATGATCATTGTCACAATGACGTCAGAGCCTAAGCTCCTTGGAAAAAAGTAACCGAATAAGGAATAAGTAACCGAATAAGTAACAGGACTTTTGAATAAGGAATGGGTTATATTTTGTGTTTTTATTGGTATATTTAACAATTTTAGGGTGTCATCTAGATGAAGAGGGGGTGCTAGTATGATGAAACAGGTATTCTAGCATCAAAATCATAAAAAAAACATAAAAAAGTTGAATAAGTAACCGAATAAGGAACCGGGAATATGTAACCAACTTCACATTTGAATAAGTAACCGAATAAGGAATAAGGAACCAGGAATCAACTTCACAGGGGTCTGTCCCAGCTATATAACGAGCTATATACACACGTCTGGGCTTGT